AATGTCTGCTGAATGTGGTCTGAACTGAATGTCTGCTGAATGTGAGCTGAATGTCTGCTGAATCTGGGCTGAACTGAATGTGAGCTGAATGTCTGCTGAATGTGAGCTGAATGTCTGCTGAAACTTGTTGAAGAATGAGCTGATGGTTCAAACACAGAGAACCAAAACTAAAATGAGAAAACAAAAGATGAAAGCTAAAGTTAGCAAATCTAAAACTGACAATTAAAAACAGCATAGCTGTAGCTAATAGCAACAACAAAATAAATCTGACCACAATAGTTAACACAAAACCAAAGAGTGGCGAAAAGCTGAAATTAGCAAGACTGTAGCGAAAAGCAAAATGTAATTGTTAAACGCTAAAAGCTTTTTACAAACCTTAGCTAATAAAAAAAAAATGTAGCTAAAATCTAAAATTAGCTAAACAGAAGTTAATAGATATGCTATGAAAGCATACATTAAAACTAAAATCAGCAAATTAGTAGCCAAGATAAAACTAATAAAACTGTACCTAAAAGCAAACTGTAGTCAAGCAGTTAAATGCAAAATTTATCAGAACTTTTCCTGAAGAGCCGAACGTTTTGATAAATGAACAGCTAAAGTAGCTCCAAGTGTGTGGAAGCAGCTTGACTGAAAACACGAGCAGTGAGGCCGCTGAATAAACAAAAACATTTGAAACAAACGCTCTGTTCAACAACATTAGTGTTTATTAATTAGTTCAAATCGGTTGTTTTTATTGACGTGCTGATCGTCTGTCTTCAGGTCCAAAAGGCCGAAGGAGCGACTCCACAAACGAAAACAGGAAGCCTCAGATCACACTTTCCTCTTTACAGCAACTAGAAACCTGGATCCAAACTGTGCGGTCCTGCTCGGCGTCTCAGAACACGAAGTAGTACAGCAGGACGCAGAGGACCTTTAAGGCCAGGATCCAGTAGAACGGGGAGACGTGGACCAGAACCAGGCCCAGGTTCAGCTGCAGGTCACGAGCGTTGTTCACATACACGGCTTCCGGCGTCAAACCTCTGTGCACAAAGTGCCAGCGCCTCCAAACCGGTGCTCCAGGACGCCGGTTCTCTGGGGCCCAAAAGGCAACGAGAAAACAGGTTTTTAGGAACAAACCTCGTATTTCCCGACAAACTCATGAACAAAACATCAGAACGGATGTTTTTAAACTCAGTCTGGTTCTGAAGGAGACAAATATGGTTTTCAGTCGCCAAAACACCTCGGCAGTAACATACGGTGCATTAATTATCACCCACCACCACAAAATATGAGCAATCATGTAACTTCCTGATCGTAGGGGTGTGTTCATTTGTCTGTTAGCAAAATATCTCATGAACCACGAGCCAAATTTTCTTGAAACAATCAGAAAGAATCAGTGGATGAACATCTACAACTGGTTAACTTTTGGAGTCAGCCCGATTCAAGATGGCCACCACAGCTAATAAACCCTAAAAATTAAATTAACTCGGTCCATTTTACAGATACGGAGCTAAAATTTGGTGTGGTAGTAGCTGAGAGTCATTCCTAACTTGTACTTCTGCTGCTACTTGATGGTGAAAACATTTATTTACAGTTGACCCAGAACAGCTAAAAGTGCAGAGCAGTCCTTCGAGTCAGGACCGGACTCTAAAGTTAAGTTTGTTGTTATTTGTTTGACAGTGAATAAAGTGTGAACAGGTCAGATCAGACCCGTTCACACAGCTGTCTCACCCCAAAATGAGCCGAAGGGTTTCTTAGCGTTGGGAAGAGGCCAACGGGAACACGAGGCGTGCTGGAAGCTGTGCTTCCGGGAGAAGTAGACTGTTGGGAAGAGAGCTTTGGCCGTCTGATCGAGTTCTGATGAGACAAAACGAGCCGTCAGAAACAAACGGTGCCGTGTGGAACCCGAGTCGGAGTCCCGCTGAGGCCGCGCACCTTCGCTGAAGCTGGTGTTGGAGATGAGGGTGCGGCACAGCGGGCAGGGCGTGACCGTCAGACGGTTCTGGGCGAGCGTGCGAAGACACGGCTCGCAGAAGACGTGTCCGCAGGGCTGGCAGGCGTGAGGGCTGAAGTAGACGTCGAGGCACACGGGGCAGGTGAGCCCGTCTCCGTCCCCCACCGCAGGGTCAGCAGGCGGAGCGCCATCAGCCTAAAGAACAAGTTTCACAAGTTTTTTCTCAGCACTGAAGGAAAAACAAAAGCATCTTCTTTTAAGGAGCTCACCCCTCCTGTCACAGGATCTAACAACGCCAAGAAGGAAAGACATCAGCAATGACTTTAGAGAAGCAACGGCTGCAGCCAGCCATAACTGAGAAAGGTCAAAGGTCATTTCCAGATTATCTGGAGTCCATCGTTCTACAGAGAAAAAGATTAATCACAAGAGGAAAACACCCGAGGCAGCTAATTCACCCTGAAGGTCAGACCGTGCAGTGACTCTATAGGCCTCTGTCAGCAGGTCAAAGGTCACGACCTCTTCTCTCTAAAAACATGGCAGCACCACTTAGGTTTGTCAAGTTTCACCTGAAGGAACCACAAGACTTCTGGACCAGAACCAGATCAAACGACGTCAACATTCAGTTGTTAAAAGTGAAAATCAGCAAAACAGAAGCTAACAGCTAAATGAACTAAAGTAGTTGCTGAAAAGCTAAAACAACATTGTTGAGAAAAGTAAAAATTACCAAAACTAAAACAGAACAGTTAAAGTCAGCCAAAAAAAAAAAAAAAAAAACCTGAAAACTAAAATTACCAAAAGACTAGCTAAACGCAAAATGCTAACAATAAAATAAGGTAAGTTGAATAGTACAAAAAAGTAGCTTAAAGCTAAATGTTTGGAAACTGCTGCCAAAAGCTACCATTAGCATAACTGTTACTAAAAGTTGAAATCAGCAAAACTGTAGCTACAACTTCAGCAAAACAGCAGCTAAAAACTAAAATTAATTAAACAGTAGCTAAATGAAAATGCTGCCAAACAGTGGTTAATTGCTACGATTATCAAAACTGAAGCTAAAAACTTAAAATCAATAAAACTTTAGCGAGACTTCTGGAACAAAGGTAGATCAAAGGACAGGTGTTTACCCAGAATGCACTGCAGCAAACAGCTCATGCCAGCTGTCAGCACGGTGGTGGAGGCTGATGGTTTGGGTTCGTTTCACAGCAACAGGAAGTGAACGCAGAGTTATTTTTCAAACACTTTCTGCGTTTTAGCTTCAAGTGTGGCTCATAAACAATGACTCGGTTTATCTGAAGGTTCATCTGATCGAACATGAAGCGGTTCTGATGCCGCCGCTTAAAACCAACCACAGCTTGACTTTGTGCATCGTCTGAGTTCTTACCTTCTGCTGGTCCAGACACTGCAGCCATCTTTCTCTCCTCCTCTCCTTCCTCCTCTGACTCTTCAGACGATTCTTCTCTCTCTTGTTCAGTCGGATCTCTGCCGAGGAGCTCTCCTAAATACAACAAAAGAATTTAAACATCCAGCAGAACTACTTTTGGTTCTAGCATAAATCTACAGCCGTTTTCTCAGGAACTGGTCTGACTTCTGGAGAAAAAAAAAACTAACTTGAATTTTTTAAAAATTCATATTGGTCCTTTACACCCTTTAGATAATGTTAAATTGTATCAAGGATCTCAACTTTCACAAACGAAACGTTAATAAACAAGCTCCTATTTTTATCTTTAACACTTTTTAAATTTTTGATTGACAGTTTCATACAAAACGTGGCATTGTTGGTAAAATTCTGCAGAAACTCATCATGTATGCAGACGATGCTTCGATGTTCACTCTGAACACCGCAGAGCTCCAGCAGCTCAGAAATGTTTACAAATTCAACGGGTTTTAAATTTTTTTTTAAGTTTTTCAAAGAGCACAAACAAATATGGAAGACCTGGGAAAAAAAGAGAACATTTTTCCATTTTTTAAGTTTGGCCAAATTTATATTGTTTGGGTTTTTAAAAGATGAAACCTTTCTTCTTTTTTTTGTTTGTTTGTTTGTTTTTGAAGCAGGGACTACAAAAACTTTTTAAAAAGTATACTTGTTTTTCTGAAAAGCAAAAAATTATTTTGGCTTCAAAACTGACAAAAGGCTGATTGAATGAAGTAAAAAAATATATATAATAAAATTGATAGTGCCTTCCAAAGATATTTGTTCGGCTTTTATCAGGATAAAAAAAAATAACATAAAACAAATAAATAGTAATAACCCCTAAACTGGAAAACCAAAATAAAATAAATTTTAGTCAGAGAATGAGAAACCTACAAAATAAACAACAACAACAACAACAACAAAGCTTTTTTTTGGAGCTCAGTCTTTTTGTACTTTTTTCAGATTTAAGAAAAAGTATTTTAAGATCATATTTGTCATACTAAAATGTTTTTTCGTGTGTTAATAAGTGATAAAGTAAATACAAAAACGTCCCTGTGTGTTTTGCGTCCTTTGTCCAGGCTTTGTCTTTAAATGCCGTCGAGCACAGAATATTATTTTCACGAAGCGTTCCTTTAGGTACAATCTGCCTGATCTACCAGAGAATTAAACTGAACTCTACCTGCAGAGCTTCTCCATCAGAGCTGGACCGCCATCTGACAGAAGAACCCGAAGCTAAAACCTCCTCGTGGCCAGGGGTCGGCTCCTGTGCCTCGTGAGTCTGGTCCTGGTTCTGATACTGGGACAAACGTCTGGCTCCAGAAACCCCAGGAACACCAGGGTCAATCGAATCTTCTGGGTCCAACTGTGGATTTAAAAAGAACGACCTCAGAAGGTCTGTGGAGTCTGCAGAGTGTCCATCATCCTCCAAGCAGCAGCGTCCCTGCCGGGTCCCACCATCGGGGACCCGATCCGAGGACTCTGCGGGACGGCTGATCAGAGGAGTCCTGCTAGGTTCACTCTGACCGGTTTCTGTTCCCGCCTCGGACCTCGTCCTCCTGGGCTGGACGATGGGGACGTGACGCTTGCGGTCCTGATCCACGCGGCTCTTGTTCAGGTGGACCTTGGTGTCCAGACCGCAGGGACACCTGGAGCGAGTCAGGAAGTTGAAGCCTCCTAAACGAGCGCCGCAGTTACAGCAGTTCAGTTTCCCGGCGGTCCACTGGGCCTGGACAGAAACCAAAACATGAGCTGGAACCAAAATGGTCCAGCTTTGAACTCAAAACCTGCTGACAGAACGAACACAAGTCGTAGAGAGGACGCTGGGTTGTCTTCAGATCAAAGTTCGGCAGACGGTCTACAGTTTAGGCACCGAAACATTCGGCTTGTTCTCGACTTCACAGCTACTACTTCTGGTTTTTGTAGCTTCTACACTTTTTACAGGATTTTAATTTACTCAGGTTTTTCTCAGTTTGCAATCATTTAAATATTTGCTCCATTTGTAGCTTTTAGCTCCTGTTAGCTCATTTTTAATTTTAACTGTTTTGCTTAATTCTGCTTGAAGCTAAAGTTCTGTTGGTTTTAGTTTTGAACTGTTGTTTCACTTCTTTTAAGCATTTTGCAACTGTTTCACAGATTTTAGCCACTAGTTTTTGCTAACTTTTGCTTTGAGCTACTTATATGCTGGTTTTAAGTTTTAGCTACTGATTCGATCAACTAAGCCTTTAGCCAAAGTTCTGCTGATTTTAGCATTTAGTTATTGTTTTGCTAATATTAGGCTTTTACCTACAGTGCTACTAGTTTTAGCATTTACCAGATTGCTAGATTTACCTTTCACCCATTTTAACAACTTTAGCTTTGGCAGTTTAGTTAATTTTAGCTTTTAGCTAATGTTATGCTTGCTTTAGATTAGTTTTCCTTATTTAAGCTTTTTGCGATAGTTTTGCTGATTTAATCTTTTATCTATTGTTCAGCTAATTTTAGCTCAACAGAAGCTGGTTTTAGCTTTTGGCCACTATTGTATAATTTAGTTTTGATAACTTTAGCTTTTAGTTGCAGTTTATACAATTTTACCTTTAGCCGTTTAGCAAATATTACCTTTTAGCTTCTGTTGCACTTGTTTTTGATTTAACTTGTTTTTGTTAAACAATTATTAACTGCTGACAGGGGTTTAGTTTTGAGCAAGTGTTTTTTAATACTTTTAGCTTCTGTTGTGCTGAATTATTGTTTTTGATAGAGCTTCATTGATTTTAGCAGTTTAATCTTAGCTTTCCCGTACTTGTTTACTAAATGTAACTTTTACCTGTTTTAATACATTTAGCTTTAGGCTGTTTTGCTAAATGTAGCTTTTAGCTACTGTTTAATCTCTGAAGCGTTTTGCTACAGTTTTGCCAAACTTAATTTCTGGCAACTGTTTTACTAGTGTAGCTTTTAGCTACCGTTTTGTTTCGTTCATTTTAAAACAGTTCAGTTTAAATTTTTTGAACAAGCTTCAGTAAAAAACAAAAAGTAGCTTCACAGCGTCGAACTGAAATTCAGCAGAAAATTATCTTCCAGTTTTTCCTCTTCGGGCAGAATTTGTTCTTTTAAAGAACAAAGCGTTCCTGTGGGTTCGAACAGTTCTACTGGACTGAGCCACAGGACGGTCCTGCTATAGAGAACAGCTGAAAAAACACGGCCCTCGCTCTGAATTAATCCATTTTTACAGTTTCTGTCTTTAGCTGCAGCTGGAAACCTGAAATGGATTCAGAATAAAAAACTAAAAACTTCAGCTGAAGCAGCTAAAATGTTTTGACTCTAAGGCAGGGGTGCCCAAACTTTTTCCCTGAGAGGGCCACATTTAAAATCTACCAGAGGGCTGCGGGCCAAAAGCAATAACACATTAAATGCAAATATTTCTTTAAGTAAAATCCATTTATTTATTATAAAGTTATTTAACCTTCCATTATAAAGAACATCACAGAAATGACTGTGTTGGTGCTGGTGGGGGGTCTGGGGGTCCTCCCCCAGATAATTTTGATTAAAGAAGATGCCATTTCCCACATTCTGGTGTATTTTACAAAAGTTTATTACAGTAGATTAACATGTAATAAAACAAATAAACTCTTATTCTTGAAATCTCTCTGACTGCGAAGCGTTCGTAATGCAACACTGCAGCAGCTCTGCAGCAGCTCTGCAGCAGCTCTGCAGGTACGAGGTGTTCACTTCAGGACAAATCAAGGTTGCTGATTGCTCAGTTGCTGCATTGCCTACTGGATTGATTGACAGGTGGCGGGCCTCGTGCAAAAAACAAAAATCATAGATTTTATAGGACCGTTTGAGACGGTCGTCATTTATTCCATATTTATTCAATATTTTGGTGAATCTAAGGTTTAATATAGTAATGAGGACAGCTTGGCGGGCCAACTTTGGCCCACGGGCCCCACTTTGGGCCCCCCGGCTCTAGGTAAAATTCTGACCAGGTGACGCCTGTTACCTGCTGGACGGAGGTCAGGATCCAGCCCGGCAGCTTGTCCACGCTCACGTGCCAAACCGCACAAACATCAGCTGAACTTTCATCTGCGGCCTGAAAAAACAAAATTGATCATCAGGAACTGTTTGTTCAGAACGTCTGTGGGAAAAACAAAACAAAGATTTCACTGAGCTTCAGAACGAAAACAGCTGCTGACAAAGTGTCAGGATTATGATTTAGATTATTCTAACGGGATTTAAATTAAAGTTTTTCATGAACATTTTCCTTTATTTCAAGATAAATTATTATTTTTCAGATGTTTGTTTTTGTCTGTTCCCAAAAGAGAACCAGAGAAACGAGGATTCTGCTGAAACTGAGCTGTTAAAGCAAGACAACAGAAGCTGAGCGGAGCAGAACGGTAGCCGAAAGTTAAAAGCGGTAAATTGGTACCTGAAGCTAAAATCAGCTAAAAGCTAAAAGTAGCAAAAGACCAGTAAAAAGCTTGAAGTAATGAAAGATTAGCTAAAAACAGTGAAAGGACAACTCAAAGTAGCAAAAGGCTAATACATAAGAGTTTTAGGAAGAAAAACTAGCTAAAAGCTAAAAGCAGCAAAAGGCTATCTAAATATAAAAAGTAGCAAAAAGCTAGAAATAAGCTAGTTTAGCTAAAGGCTTGAAGTAGCAAAATAGCATCTATAATCAGGCTAACAATTAAAAGTGCCAAAGGATTAACTAAAAGTATGAAGCAGAAGAAGTATAGTTTAAAACTAAAAGTAACAAAAGGCTAGCTAAAACGTAAAAGTAGTGAATGTCTAGCCAGAAACTTGATATAGTAAAAGAATGGCTAAAAGCAAAACGTAGCAAAAGGCTAATCAAAAGATTGAAGCAGCTAAAAGCAACAACCAGATGGCTAAACGCAAAAAGCAGTTAAAGTTTAGCTTAAAAAGGACGAAGACAATAACAGAGGATGAGAATTTTATCAGTAAATAAATGTAAAGATTTTGAAAAGTATAAAAGTTACAAAAAAACTAAAGTTACAGCGCCCATCTCCTAAAGTAGCCGAAGGTCTGGAAGTACAAATGGCTAAAATACCATTAAAGTCTGCAGAAGCAGTTTAATTGTAAATGGAAAAAAAAATGTAAACAGGAAAAGAAAATGAATATAAACATCAAAAGACTGTGAAGGTTCGGACCGAAACAAGAACTTTGACAGACTTCGGCTTCTTCACTGACCGAAGGGGAAGCAGTCAGATCCACGGCGGCTCTCCGACAGCGTCTGCAGCGGAGCAGCGTTCCCTCCATCGCTCGGTCCGTCGGCACTGAAGACAAGAAGCAAAAAACACTTCGTCCTTCACCCTGTGAAGCTAATCAGAACCGGAGGCGGAGTTCTTCGGCCGCTTTGCGTTTGTAGCCGTTTACATTTTCATCCATGCAGGTTTCAGACGTTTGCAGATGATGACATCATATTTATGGCTGAATTTGTCCCAAAGGACCGGACGTTCACAAAACTTAGCCTGGGCTGTAAACGGTGCTGTGTACAGCAGCTGTTGTTCAACTCTTGTCCCCGAGTAAATAAACAACAAATGAACGGGAAAAAAAGCTATTTAGCTGTAAATCAGTTGTAAGAAAATATAAAACTGATGATTTTAGAAATGGGAAAAGGTGCATGAAATGACGTTTTTGAAAGAATATTGTTTGGAAATCAAAAGGCATCGGATACAAACCAGCTCAATATACGATGAAGACGAAACATTTTAGAACACCTGTAGCTAAAGTTTAGCTGCTACACAGTAAACCTGAAGTACGTCCAAATTTTCATCACAAACTGCGCAAAACTCCTGAGTTTTGTCAGATTTTTTTATATTTCCTTTCCCTTTAAGACTCAACTTTGCTTGTCTTCTGGACTTTAGGAGCTCTTTGGGTCCGACTGAGGTCAGAGGTCAGAGTTAGTCATGGAGTTCCTCAGGGTTCAGTGCTTGGCACAATACTCTTTACTGTATATGCTTCCACAAGGTAAAGTTAACTTATTAAACAGCATGGGATAAATGTTCATCATTATGCTGATGATACTTGATGCTATATAAATAAACTGAACTGACTGAGGTCAGAGGTCAAAGTTAGGAAACTCAAGGATTGAAACTGAAGGAAGAGGCAGAAAAACACCAAATAAAACCCTGAAAAACCTCCAAAAAGTCTGGATAACTGCAAGTCCGGACCACTTCCACAGAGAACAGGCAAGGCAGGAAGAAAACTGTTCAAAACCAGGACTGGACCAGAACTTTTATTGATCAGTCCTGATGCACCTGTTTTAACCTTAATAAACTGCTATCAGTTCTCCTGTTTGGACCTTTCCCTGAATGTTTAATAAAACTACTGCACTTCGTTTTTATTCGTCATCTTCAAGTTGAGTCAACAGACGTGGTGGAAAAACATTTTATTTAGCTAACTTAGCTACAAAACAAGTTTACTCTTGACTTTTGGCACTCCTCGGTTCAAAACGGACTTCAAACATAAAATGACCTCATGTTTTATAAGAAAATTTACTTTACCTGGCAACATACGAGGCGTTCGCAGCCGCAGAGGCGAAGAGAAACAGAAAAACATAAAGTTATAAATCCTTAAATACGGATGTGACCGCAGGAGAATCTACGGGAGCCCGAACGAGACAAAAAGGATTTAGCGCAAAACAACAAATTTCGTTTGTTTGTTTGTTAGTTTTTTTTATGGAAGAAACATAAATAACGTGCATATATATATATATATATATATATTTTTTTTTTTTTAATATGGACACTTACATGAATTAGAACACTTGGTTAGAGAAAAACATATATTAATTTAAAGTAACACTTTTGGATGGGAACATAGATTTGTCTTCCTTTTTCATTTTGATTGTGCAAATATCAGTAACTATATTTAGACATTTAAATCTGTTAGTTGAAATTTCAAGGTTGATGTTTTGAAATGTTCATCAAAACAGTAATAAATGCAGCTAAAGTCATGCATTGCACCCCCTGCTGGCGAGTCTTGTAACTCGTCATTGAAGAACAGTCATTTGGGTTTTAGAAAAATGATTTTAATGTTCACAGCTCATAAAAAAAGTAAACCAAGGCCAGAGCTTTATTTGACAAAACACGGACAATTGCAACAATAAAATAAAACTACAAACGACAACAAATATGTTAATTTGCTATTGAAAATATCAAAGTAAAACTAAATTTTGGAAAACAAAACAACCTATAAGCAGTAGTTAACAGTAGTTTTTCTGTAGTTTTGTTACCAGACAAAACTACAGAACCCCCTTAAAGGCTATGTTTTAAAATGGACTGTACTTATACTTTGTATATCACCTTTCTAACTTATCAAGATACTCTCTTTACAACACAGTCTGTGCTTCATTTACCCATACATACAGCACTCTACTAGATTTCTGCGAAGAATAATCAGTGGCTTAGATCATAGGGCAATCTGTATCTGTCATTTCCAGATAAACACACTTGAGAGAGAGAGAGAGGTTAAAATTATTTAGTTTTGTTCTTCTGCTCAACAGTTTGTTGAAAAGTTGTTGTTTTTTTCCAGTGGGAATATAATTCAGTGTTTAAAACATGTTAGTTAATAACAATCTTACGCTCAGCAGCTGTATTAATTAATTGACTATAGTAAAAAAAAATTAAAACATTCTAAAAGTTGATGTTTCTTTACATATTTATAGCGTTTGTGGGTTTGCGGGGGGGGGGGGGGGGTGTCAGCCAGAAGCTAATGTCGTTTGGTGTGCTGTGGCTTAGAAAAGTTTGGGAACCCCTGATTTAGATCACATTCATACACCGATGGGACACAAATCAGAGGCAATGAGGGGTTCAGTGTCTTGCTCAGGGACTGCTGGTGGAATTGAACTCCCAACTCTCGCATTTGAGGACGACTGCTCCAACCACTCAGTCACAGCCGCCCCCTTATCTATCTATCTATCTATCTATCTATCTATCTATCTATCTATCTATCTA